AGAACCCTCAACCCTTTATGCCTACGTCCGAGGATAGAGAAAGATGCTGAGAAGAAAGCCGAGCAAAATCGAAGTCAGAATCGAAGACAAAGAAGAACTCGAAGAAGCCCGCAGCCGAGCCGCCGCCGCCGCTTCCAGCATCTCCACCACCGCATCTTCACTCCTCAACCACTTTGATCGATCGTCTCGTGATCCCTCCTCCAAATCCCATCGCATCGGCCTCTCGTCTTAAGAAAACCCATAAACCAGAACCCTCGCCAAACTGAAAGAAAAATCAACATAATACCAAATACGAGGTCGTTTTTGAGATTAATGGAAATTGAAGTGAAGCTCCGGTTACCAAACAAAGCTTCCCACCAGAAGCTTCTTCAATTACTCTCTCCATTTCACATAACTACACACCACCAGCATAATAATTTCTTCGACGGATTGGGTTCCGAGCTGAGCTCCCGCCGAGCCGTGTTGCGCCTCCGGTTCCATGAGCAAACCGACCTCCCCAAATGCTTTATATGCCTCAAAGCCAAAGCTGTGATTACAAACGGTGTGAGCCGCGTCGAGGAGGATGAAGAGGAGGTGGATCCGTCTATTGGGTATGCCTGTTTGGAAGAGCCTGGGAAGCTGATGGACGTGGATTCGAGGGTTTTGAGCAGGGTAAAAGAGGAATTTGGAGTGATCGGTTTCAAGGGGTCGGGGGGCTTCAGGACTGTGAGAAGTGTGTATGAGTGGAGTGGGGTGAAATTGGAGGTAGATGAGGTTAAGTATGAATTTGGGGATTTGTATGAGGTCGAGTGTGAGAGCGTGGAGCCCGAGAAGGTCAAGGGGATGATTGAGGCTTTCTTCAAGGATAATGGGATTGAGTATTCAGATTCACTCACGTCAAAGTTTGCAATTTTCCGGGCCGGCAAGTTACCTTCTCAGTAAGCCAATTTTATTCTGATTTTATGATCTTCAATAATGCGACTATCCATTTCGTTTAAAGGATTACGTTTTGTATTCAATGCCATGGTCATTGATTGATGTTTGTACTGAATCTTTCGTGTAATTGGTTACCTTATTAACAGTATGTGATGTTTACATAGTATTTGTGTGTGATATTGTTAGCTTCATTTCTCCGAAATCAATTATCTATGTGTCTTATATTTTAGTTAATGAATTGCCAGGTTCTGAAGTTTTGTGCTGTTCTTGTTGTATCCCCTTTGTTGGATGAGGGTCATAGACCTCGACTTCATCAAAATTGTTAGAATTCCTGGTACCTATAAATTCTAGGAATGTTGCTTTGATGTAAACTGTATTTCTATGATCTAGTTTTTCTTGTTTAGAGTCAATTCATGATCTTTTGATAATCTCATTGTTATTTTAGGTGAAGTTGAATATACTTGTGTTTTTTGAGCAAGAGTCAACAATTCTAGGATTGTAGCCCACGTTAGCGCGTGTATTATAATTTTTGTCTGGTAATTTGTTTGCTTTTATAGAATTTTCCTTGTTTTACATCATCTACCAAGTACCTTCATCCTATTCATGCTAAGCTGCATATTAGTCATTTCAGCTGATACCGTGTTAAAACATGAATTTACCTCTCTTCTCTCCTAGTATTTCTATGTGCTAGTGCATGTGTGTGTATGCTTAAAAGTATGAGCAAGTGTGGGCTGGAAACCCCATAATCAGTTTAATTGGACCTGTCCCAAAGTGAAACAGCAAGTCCAGTTTGGTTCCAAGTTGGCAAAATCCTGAAAATGTTTTACTGAACCGAAAACCTTACTGGTTTTTTGCGTTCTTTTAGTTTTAAAATTTACTTTTAAAAAATAAATTTCAATTATTTTGGTAGGTAATCCATAAATGTAAATATAATGAACTTATAGGCACCTCTTCTAACTCATTCTTCCAACCTCAAATCTTGTAAATAACCTAACTGGACTAGTCCAGTTCAATTTTGTTCCTGGGCATTGTTCTCTACCAGAAACAACCATGCTAATTCCTAAAGCGCATTAGATACTAATACGATGCATAAACCTTGTCTTTTTGAACTGTCTCGGTCTGGTGGCACTTGTTGTGGTCAAATTTAATTCTATAATGTATTCATTTGTCACCAAGTTTCTTCCACAAGGATGCTCGTTTCAAAACCTCTCCAAATGTTAGACAAGCATGCTTGAATGAATTGCTTAAGTTCCACAAGAAGATCTTGATAGCTGGACAAGTACATGTACCTGAATATATTTGTCCAAGTCAACATGCAATGCACATTATTTTTAGATTTTATTGAGTCTTGTAAAAATTTATGTAACAAACCATCCACATTTCTTCTAATAATTTTAAGCATTCCATAATATAGCTAAAAAAAATTCTACAGTCTAATCCCTTTACTCGTTGTACCATTCATTTTGCATACTTCTTGAGTCATATTGGTCTTGACAAGTCTGAACAACAAAATCTGTAACACGTAGCTATTGTAATGTAACAAGGATGTTGAATTTACCAAAAAAATGTAGTAAGGGTAGAGTTTGATGGTAAATGGCAAGTCTTTAAAGGTTATGATGATCACTCTCAAATTTACATCTTATTTGCCAGTTCTCTTTTTTTCATCTTATCCTGGGTTTTTTTGGGTAGCAGCATTGACGCAAATGAATAGTTTCCGCTCCAGTAAAGAAGTTCTTGTAACTTTGAATGTTGTGAAATAAAAACTAGGTTACAAAAATTCAACTTACCGTGACTGCTTTTTTTTTTTTTTTCAATGTAACCTGAAAAGGTAGCTGAGTAAAATGGTCATTAGACCTGTTATGGTTTATAGTGTTGAATTTTATGGAAGACAAGAATGATTATCAGAATGCAGCAAAGCTCTAGATGTTGAGACAGATGTGTGACTGCACTAGAACAGATCGAATAATAAATGAGACCATGCACTTCCAAAGGAAAAGGCGTCTTGGATGATTAGAGCATGTCTCATATAGTTTCAAAGCTTTTCATCTTTAAGAGTGATGTAATCTAATAGAATATGTTGAAAATGTTAAGAGGGAAAGAGTTCTTAATTGAATGTGGTGATGAAAAAAGATTAATAATGTTGAAAATGTTAAGAGGGAAAAAGTTCTTATTTCTTAATTGAATGAGGCGATGAAAAAAGATTAATGTCTAAATGACTCCATGTTGTGACAGTTTTGATGATCAAGTCAAAGTTCTCATTTGAGAGTTCGCTCTCCATTACCCCGAAGTCTTAAATATCATTAAAATTTATTGCACAATGTGCTAGTTTCATTTTTATCAAGTTGGATTCTTTAGATTTGTTGTTAATTCCACGACGAAGCAGCTTTATCATCTTCGTTCAGGTTAGGTTATCTGGCTGGATGATTTTTCATCAGCTGGTTGAGCGTATATGGACTTGAAGTCCAAGAGTACCAACTTGGTGTTTTCTGGTTCTCATTTTGCCTTTTTTGTCTGATGAACTGCCGTAAATGTCACTTAATTCAAATTTGATATATTACTCAACCTTTAGGGGTAGCTCAATTGGTCAGGTCTTGGGTTTGCTCCCCAATGGTCACCAGTTCGAGTCCCTTTAGGACCACTGAGGTGAGTATCCGACCGTAAACTTCAGGGCCCCGTGGGATTAGTCGAGGTGCGCGTAAGCTGGACCAGACATCCACGGTTATAAAAAAAAAAAATATATATATTACTCTTTTATCAAATCAAGATATGATCAAGTTTGTCTCTTAATTGTAATTTATTTTTAGCTTGTCCTTGACGGTGATTTGCCTTGTTTAACTTTCTTTCCAGTTAACTATGATTTAACTGTTTGCATAACGTTAACTTTCAGATATTTGGGGTAAATGAATCTTATCATCCATGGAAATTGTTCTGTGTAGACCAAAAAGGTAGTGGAGCCATCTGAATTGGCTAAATGTGATGTTTTACTCCTGCTTTTGTGAATGGCTTGTATAATTGTTCAGCTTTTATTACTATAGGACTGTGAACAAAGCTTTTCTTGAAAATCAACTTCCCGAATTTATTATCATCGTTGATAAATGCAGTTTCTATGACGATCTTGTTGACTACTGTGCTTTTACCGATTCATTTCTTGTGATTTTTCAATGATGGGATTGGATTGGATTTGTAGCCTGCATTTGATCACCATGCGATATTTCCAAATGAAACGAAAAGAAATTCCAGAAAAAGGAAAAAAGAACTTCACTAGGGCTCGTGAGATGATTTGTGCTAATGAGAGAATCGGAGGTGGGCCGAACTAGACTGGACAAGATTTAACCCGATGACCAATAAATTTGTCACATTCCGTGTTTAATCTTAAACGTGGATTCACTTTATTTAGTTCAACAGATCAAATATAACTTGTAAAATTTGGTTAAGATACACGTGTACTCAAGTTTATTCTTATTTAGTTCAGAAGATCAAACATTTCTTGTTTTACGATGTTGTTAACGTACCATTTACTCGTTTTGCCCCTTTCCAACCCAAAATGATATTTTAGATAACAAAATGTGTGCAAAACTATGTACTAGGAATAATTTTTGATACAACCGGCAATTCCCAATGATATTATTGGGAACTTTTAAGGATACAAAAATGGTCTGGCTAGGAAAACTGAAAAATTGATAATATATTAGAAGAAAACGAAAAAATCGACGACAATGTATCAGTAACAATCTACGGTAACATGAGACAAGCCTTTGCTACAAAGATTTCCAAAACGTAGGGAATATCAGGTTGAAAAATGTTACAATTGAGGTTGATGGTCGGTCTGCCGTGCAATGAAATGTTGGCTGATAATAGGCCATCTTCCTTATTTAACTGCAAAAATACATAAAAATAGTACAACTACTAAAGATCCAGGATTCCCAGTCAATCCACAAGAGGGAACATAAAACAGAGAGACACATTCATTCTAAACAGGGCTGTCACTTTCCTACTCTATGAAGACAAACAGGTTAAACCTCCCTCAATACTTTTAAATGCTCCCAATTAAGATAAAGGCGCAGAATTAACGTCTACAAACTACTTCACTTCCTCTTCTTAGCTGGTGGTTGATCCTCCTCTTCTTCCTCGTCCTCCTCTTCTTCCTCGTCATCCTCACCATCCTCGTCATCATCACCGTCACTGTCATCGTCATCCTCATCATCACTGCCTTCGTTGCCATTAGCCTCGGGATCATCCTCATGATCTGCTTCTTCTTCATCGTCTCCCCCTTCTTCACCCCCTGAAAAGTCTGCATCGCCAGCATCATCATCATCCTGATCATCGTCGTCGTCTTCATCTTCACCGGCATCCTCTGGATCCCCGACATTGTTGTTCTCAGGTCCAGGCTTTTCAAATCTATGAAGTTCGTCCATGGGAAACCTGTAGATGTTTGTCAAATTTCACTCATTCCACAATTTCCTCTTACCATATCGCACAACAACAAAACTAGCTAAATCTTATTCTCAATATTTTTTGGATCAGCTAAATGAATCAATTTTTATCAATTCATTCCATACGAAGCTGTGGGTTATTGATAAGTAGTGCTTGAATACAGCGTATTGCATAGAATTAGGGCAAACTAACAGCAGTCAATAAGTGCTACAGTTGCTGTGTGATTTCAGATAGTTAACAAATCAAACTAAAAGTTCTAGAAAAATTTGTAATCCACATATTCTTCATTGTATTTGGCAACTAACAAATAAAATGTCCGTAGGATAAATGTAACTAAAATGATGGTACTAAGTGGGAAGTGCTGCAATTCTAGAATGGATAAAGTAACAAATGAGAATAGAATATACATGAATAGATGGAAGTGAAACCAGTGGAGCATAGATCAAGAGAACGAGTACTCAAATAGTGCATGTCTTGTGAAGATTTAAAGGAACTCATGTTCACAAGAGCAATGCAAGGAGAACGGGTTAGACGAGAAATGTAGACCGAAATTAACCTGTGTAGTTGCAAAGTATTTTACTTCATTGGACCTTTCGGCAGATATGGAGCTGAATCAAATGAGGCAGAGAATATAATTCATGCAACTCACCCCGAGTTTATTAGAAATATGACTTAGCTTGTTAGTCCCATCACCCATGTTCAAACTATACAACAACAAATAAGCAATGTTCCCAATAAATTTGAGGTCTGTCCTGAAAATTGTAATTACCTTTTCTTAACCAAGTTTGGCAGCCCATCAATATCATTCAACAGAGTTCCTGTCTGTGAACATAGTTTGTACTGTTAACAGAATTTAAGCAGCAATACATATGTGCAATAACGCAAATATAAAATGTTTCATTAACTGTGTAAGCATCAGTCCTATGAAACAGAGTGACATGAGAACGAATATAAAGCATGCAAACAAGAGTCAAATAACTTGCAGAAATTGCTCGATGCCATATGCTATTTGACCGGTAAACGATGCGACAGAGGGTTCTAAACTTAGAGTTGGAAGTAAATCTAAACTTCCAGAAAGTAAAACAAAAGTTTAGGCTTTCACAAACTCAGAGCGTGCTGAGTTGCTTAACTTAGAGTGATTCATCATCTAATAATAATAAAACGGGGACAAATTCATATTCAGAAAAAAAAGAGAGAGAATAAGAAGAAACAGAAAGTCCTGATATCAACTGCAAGGGCCAGCCATGGGAATTGGAAAAGTGATTCTCAATAATATATCAAAATGAAGGTACCAAAAAGGCGAATAAGACCAGAAGTTTTTTGAGGTAAAAAATGGCGCAATCCATGTATTGACATGCTTTTATCCAAAGCTCAAGATAAACCCTTCACTTCCACTCTTCCAGAGAGAAGGTGGAAGGTAAAAAATAGGCAGTTAGGTCGAAACACAGGTGCCAAAAATAAAAAAATGGCAAAACAGATTTTCAACGTCAGTGCACTGAGTAGTGAGTACACTGATCATCTTCACATAAAACCACACAAAAATAGCTTCCCAGTTTTAACATTTTCTTGTGAAACCACATCTGTTCGGACTTTTCCACAAATTCATTCATGCTCCTTGAACTTCTAGTTTCTATGGTTTCTTGTTTCAGCATCTTCTAATTCATCATTGATTTATTTATTTATTTATTTTGGTTTCTCGCGTCTTTAAACCTCAAATTTACCCAATCGCCAGTTCATAACACAAAATAAGTTCCCAGAGAGAGGCCATTTACAAAGAGCAGAACAATGATATGAAATTGAACTTAAATTTTTCTTAAAAGCAGCTCATTTAAGCCTACAACAATGCAATAGTCTGAGATTATGAAACCAACGAGTACAAAATAAAAAAACAATAATTACCATATGCAAAAAAAATAAAATCTTTAGTTTCATTACTCGATTTTATTTCTTTCACTCCTATTTCTCCAGTTTAATTGAAGCTTTAGTTCAAACCATGAAAGAGTTAGCACAATATGAGCAAGACTCTCAAAATTCATTCTTATATCAAATCTTCATTATACTAAATAAAGGTACTAAAAACCCCAAGAAAAAGAATGAATAAGGAACACTTGCGCCGTTTTGGAAAATTTTATACTTCCTCCCTATAAACAACTAAACTCACAAATAGAGGTGCAATAGAAAGCCAAGAAGCCAAATTCAGCAACCCAGAAAAAACAATATCAACAGCATTCCAGTTGCTCAAAAGTCAAATCCAGAGCAAATTTGAAAAAATCCACATCATAAAAATCAAGTCTTTGCATTAGAAAAATTTTAAAAGATAAAAAACATTCGAGTTCAGGAAATTATACCAGCGTGAGAAGGCAAGCAAGAGACATTTGAGCAGCCAAAAGAGTGTTCATCACTGCAACTTCCACAATTGAACACGCCACCAGCTGATTCCTCAAAACACAATAGCTAAATTTACCCACCTCCATTTTTCCCAAACACAAAATTGCCTTTAAAATACAATTAAGAGAGAGAGAGCAAAAAGAACAAAAGAGGGGGGGTGGGGGGGTTGGTTTAGCCGTTTAGAGTATGTCCAAAAGAGTACTGAGAAGTAAAGAAAATTTCTACTGCGGTAAGACTCCAGCTAGGGTTTTGTGGTAGAATTTTGACATTTTAAAGGGACTAAAATGTAATAGGTGTAAAACGTTTGGAATCTGGGTGCTTAGGATCCAGTGTCAAATAGAATTGGTTATTCACGCGCTTCATGGAGAGTGACGTGTAAAGGTTGACAGAGACAGGGGTACTTTCAAGAATGCCCTTGTCAAACAACCACTTTTTTATATTGCCCAAAAAATTTTGACATTCACCACAATAGTCTTCCAAATCTAAAAAGATGAAATTATCCTTAAAATATTATACAAATTACAAAAATGGTATTATTTAAAAGACAATAATACCCCTTTTAAGTTATAAAGAATTTCAAACACTTCCCACTTAAAATTTCAAAGTCAATTCACTTTTTTTTATGTGTACTCCAACACAGATAAAAATTATTTCATTTTTTATCTATTTCAAACTTGAAAATAGATAAATTTATCAAACACTCAATAAGGAAATATTATTCACAGTTATCAGTGAAATCGGTAATTATATTTGCGTATTTTAATTTTCGTTTCGGTAAAATTAGTACAATATTTTAATCTTTAAATCTTATTTCGACATAAGCATATGAAAATTTTATGATCTTAAATGAATATA